ATCTGTGAGTTCGAGGCCAGCCTGGTCTACAGAGCGAGCGAGTGCCAGGATAGGCTCCAAAGCTACACAGAGAAACCCTGTCTTGAAAAACCAAAAAAGAAAAAGAAAGAAAGAAAGAAAGAAAGAAAGAAAGAAAGAAAGAAAGAAAGAAAAAGGAATTGACGGTGAGGGGATGAAGGAAGGAGGCAGGGAAGGTAAGATTAGGGTATGGGCTGCCTCAGTAACAAGTCACACACCCACACTGAAGCAATGCCCCTTTCTTAATGCCCCTTTTGATCTAGCTCTCAGGGTGAATATCCCTCATTGGCTGCCTGTGTCTGGAATCTGTCCTGAACTTTAGCCTCCTCCTTTAGACTTCAAGTTTGGGAGTGGCAGGCAGTAATAACCAGAATTTGAGAACCCAGAGGCCTTAGGAATCTGAAGAGATGTCTGCTGATTTGAGACCTGAAGACAGTGATGCTCAGAGAGTGGGTGTTTGCCCAAGGCTATCAGCATCCAGAGGGGAAGAGGACTGTGCATGGGCTGGCCCCTCCCCTCAGCACCGTGATGCCTTCCTTTTCTCCTGGGCCCCCTATTGGGCACAGTTTCCAGGAGCCCATCCCAGGGTAGTTGGTGTCAGGCCCAGGCAAAGTATGGGTGCATGGAGCCATGTGTCTCTGCCCCCTGCAGTACATGGAGAAGCTGTCACAGCTGGCGTACCACCCCCTGAAGATGCAGAGCTGTTACGAGAAGATGGAGCCCCTGCGGCTTGATGGGCTGCAGCAGCGCTTTGACGTGTCTAGTACATCTGTGTTCAAGCAACGAGCCCAGATCCACATGAGAGAGGTGTGCCCACCAGCCCACACCCCACTAGCTTTCCATGGCCCCCATCACAGCAAGAGGGAGCCCCTTCTCCCCTTCCCATGCCTCTCTGAGCACCTTGCCTCCTGCTCATCTGACTGACTCTGGCTACTTGTTAGACTTCCTTAGGATCTACCCTTTCCTCCCTGGAAGTTGTCCTTACAGCCTAGTCCCCTTCTTGGGATTTCCGCACTCTCAGACAGACACCTGTACCCAGACACTCTTTGAGCATACAACCCCCAGACCATCTCTAGTTGCTCCATGGCAGCTTTGGGGTGGGGACATTGGCCAAGGGTGCAGGAAGGGGCTCTGGTCACCCTGGGAGGGTCTCACAAGCACTGCTGTATGCCTGCCTTTCAGCAAATGGACAATGCTGTGTACACCTTCGAAACCCTCTTGCACCAAGAGCTGGGGAAGGGACCCACCAAGGAGGAGCTGTGCAAGTCCATCCAGAGGATTCTGGAGCGAGTGCTGAAGGTAAGACTGGCTGCCTCCATTGGGCTGGAGTGTGCATGGCCAGCTGAACCCAGAGCTGACTGTCCAGCCGCCATCCCCAGGCAGCACCTGGTGTTGAGGTGCTTGTGAGTGCTCTGGGCTTGGGTTAGACCTTCCTCCAGCTAGGGGAGTCCCTGACCCAGGGTCCCTCTCACATGTCCTTCCCTGCAGAAATACGACTATGACAGCAGCTCTGTGCGCAAGAGATTCTTCCGGGAGGCACTGTTGCAGATCACCATTCCCTTCCTGCTCAAAAAACTGGCCCCCACCTGCAAGTCGGTGAGTCCCAGCTTGCCCTAGCCCTTTAGGGTCCATCCAGAGGGGTAAAGCCTCTGACGCATCTCTACCTCTTCCCTGGCAGGAGCTGCCACGCTTCCAGGAACTGATCTTTGAGGACTTCGCCAGGTTCATCTTGGTGGAGAACACATACGAAGAGGTGGTGTTGCAGACAGTCATGAAGGACATCCTGCAGGGTGAGCGGGGAGGGCCAGCCCAGGGGAGTCTTAGGTGGCATTAGCTAAGGGCATAGAGAGGCCCAAGCCTGCAAGAGGAGGCTGGGTTGGACTACTGGCTTCTCTGTGCCTGGTTTCCTCTCTGGTTCCTGGCTTTGCTGAGAGTGGCCAGTGAGGGTCATGGTGTCTGCTGGCTTAGGTTTTGGGCTTGAGTTATAGCTTCGCAGCACGGAGGTCTGGGGTGAGGCAGGTGGTTTGCTGTGGTGGTCCCTGTGCTAAGAGCATTGCCTCTCTCCTGTGGTTTCTCAGCTGTGAAGGAGGCCGCAGTGCAGCGCAAACATAACCTCTACCGGGACAGCATAGTTCTGCATAACAGTGACCCCAACCTACACCTGCTGGCCGAGGGTGCACCCATTGACTGGGGCGAACAGTATGGGGACAGCGGCGATGGCAGTGACAGTGGTGGCAGCCCCAGCCCTTCTGAAGCAGCCACACTCACAGAAAAGCGCAAGCGTGTCAAGCAGGTGGTGTCCGTGATCCAGGACGAGGAGTCAGGGCTGCCTTTTGAGGCTGGCTCCGAACTGCCTTCACCTGCATCCCCGGACAGTGTCACTGAGCTCCGAGGCCTGCTGGCCCAGGATCTGCAGGCTGAGAGTCCCCCACCAGCCAGCCCCCTTCTCAATGGGGCCCCTGTCCAGGAGAGCCCCCAGCCCATAGCAGTCCTCGAGGCCTCCTCACCACCAGCCTCACCCCTTGGGCATCTCCCACCTGGAAAGGCTATGGACATTGATATCCCTAAGCCCAGTGATCAAGAGACTGGGGAGCAAGTGTCCAGCCCTGGTAGCCGTCCCCCCATCCACACCACCACTGAGGACAGCGCAGGAGTGCAGACAGAGTTCTAGGCGTCCTCTCCAGGCTTCTGTTGGATGCTGCGCTGGGCCACTTCTCCTTGGGCACTATGGGCTCATCTCTGGGGAGGGGTACCCCAGCCTGTGCCTTGTGGGGGAGGGGTCTGGGGTGGTGTGGCACCTCCAGGGTCTGGCTTACCCAAGTCACTTTATGGGGTTCAGTATACCTGTTACTGCCCCGTTTTTCTGTGGGCTGGTCTCCGATGCTAGGTCTGATTTTGAGGGCTTCCTCTTTATGCAAGGGGCTGGTGAGCCTTTCTTGCCCTCATGCTGTCATGTTGGTTCTTGTCGTCTTTGGATGGAGGTGGGTGAAAGCACTGGTGGTGCTGTTACTCAAGTCTAGGAAGCTGGTAAGCTCTGTCATCTCACTCGGGGCTCCTTGGTACCAAGGTGGCAGGAAGAGGAGGGGGCCCACTCTCTGTCCTATCCCCTCTCTGCAGGCCCAAGATTAGATAGACTTTGAGTGTCACTGGCCTCACTTTGCTGGCTATTGCTGTGGGAGGGTGGGGCTTGGGGGGGTCTTATAGGGGAGTGTACAAGGGATCTGTGATGGAAAGAGAAAGGCCCAGAAAGTGGAAGTATCTGCAGGGGAAGTGTCCTGGGGGCTGGGGGTTGGGAGCTTGGGAGTGTCCGATTGAGGCCAGGATGGCAAAATGAAGAAGCTGGAAGCTGGATTGTCTTGGGTGCACATGGTTTCTGTCCGTCTGCCTGGCTCCCCACCCCCACTTTGGGCTTACAACTGCCATTGGAAGAGCTTGGATGTGGGCTGTCGTTCCCCAGATTTTCCAAGGTACTCCCTACCTGCCAGGAAACTGGAGGGGCTCCTGAGGGACATTGAGGACCATGGCTTTCCGAGATACTATTGAAGACCATACTTGGCCTTTGAGTCCCACTCTAACCCTGACAATTCTAGACCTCTCTTCCAGTGTCCTTGTGAGCCATTTGGGTTTTGTCTCCTTAGTCATGAGGGTCACAGCAAGCAAGGATGACTGATACATGACCTTCACCTTGGGCCTCCCCAGACTTACACTGGGGTTGAGGAGAGCAAGGAGACACTGCCTCTTCAAGGCCCCCAGGAGGTCTCCTCCCAGCCATGTTCTTTGTCCAATGGACTTGCTCTCCAAGCATGGGCCCAAGGCCCATAGAATGTGGCTGGTATGCAGAGAAACCCAATGCCCCAGCCCTACTCAATCATGTCACTAATTTCTTCTGATGCTCTCTAGTGCCTTGGGGGTTTCCATCTCCCTTCCAGATAAGGTATGAAGAATCTATGCAAACTGTGTAAGCTTCTGCTCCTGAATAAATGCTTTATTTAAAGCTCACTGTATGTCTTCTGGGGTCCGGGAGACCAGGGCCTAGGGTGTCTAGGGACCTCATTCATCTCAGCTTTCTTGGACTCATCATATGAGCTATGAGGTCCCTGTATGTGTGCAGCTGTGAACTCAACATGTGCATGTGGAAGCCAAAGAAATCCTTTTTTTTTTTTTTTTTTTTTTTTTTTTTTTTTAGAGAGCCTATCCTGGAACTCGCTCTGTAGACCAGACTGTCCTAGAAATCACAGAGATCTGCCTGCTTCTGCCTCCCAAGTGCTGGGATTAAAGGCGTGAGCCACCACTGCCCGGTGAAGCCAAAGGATCTTAGGAGTCACTCCACCTTGTGTTTTGAGACAAGCTCTCTCATTAGCCTGAGACTCACCAATTAGGATAGCCTGGCTGTCTGGTGAGCCCTGAGATCTGCCCACCGCGGCTTCCTCGGTACTGTGATTGCATGCATTTTGCCAACATGCCTGGTCTTTTATGTGAGTGTGGGAATCCAAACTTTGAAATGCTGACCTCTTTTCTGAGCTCTCTCTCTAATCCACCCCCCTTTTAATTTTTAAGGGCTGGGTTTCTCTATAGCCCTGGCTATCTTGGAAGTCACTCTGTAGACCAGGCTGGTTTTGAACTCAGAGATTTGCCTGTCTCTGCTGGGATTAGTCACGTGCACTACCCTGACTCTGACCCGTTCTTATAATGCCCTGTTTTAGAGGGAGAAACTGAGGCTCATACAGAAGGGAGAGGCCACGGAGCTTTCAGGTGACGCCTGCCACGAGGGTGGGCTCCAGCCTGCACCAGGTGCCAATGGCCATGCTAGTGCCAGAGTCCGTCAAGTGGCATCTGTTGAGTACATGCTACAGGCCATGTACTTTATATTGGGAAGGGCAGAAGGGTGCCATGCCACATGAAATGCCCCCCACATCAGTACAGCTGGTGGTGGTGAACTGCCCAACTCAGTCTTTTTGAGTTGCCCTGGCAGTCCCCTTACCTAGGGCAATCACTGCAGGGAACACAACCCACTCCACAATCACAAGCTGCTTATAAATAATGAGGTTGTCCCTGGCTCTGCTGCCCTTGTCCTTTGCTGAAGAGGTGTTCCCTAACTCTCCGTTGGGTTATATCTCTGCTGCCTTCCCTTTGGCCCAGGGGCCTCAGCTCTGGCCCCTTTCCCCAGAGGAGCTGCCTTGTCCTAGGACCCAGCCCACTCCCATCCCTCCCAAGTCCCCAAGGACCCACAGGTTACTCAGGGAGGAACTCAGATTTATTAGTGTTCTTGCGGTGAATCAGCCTGCCTGTGTGGGCTGAGGATGCAGACATGGGAGGGTGGGTATTCAGAAAGCAGCAGAAGAGGGCTGGGGAGTGGTTCTGCATAGTCCACCCCTTCCCAGGGACATCGCTCCACCTCAGGCCTCCAGACATGGTCACCCCCAGAAGGCTTGCCTAGTAACGTGGGTTCCTGAGTCCTGCTGGTAGCATGGCCACCTTCATATGCCACAGAGCTCCATCACCAGCAGGCAGCTATGCCTCATCTCCTGTGCACTATCCAGTGTAGCCACTATATCTCAGACAAGGGACACCCCACCTGCCTGCCTGGAGCTCAAGGCAGTGGGGTTGGCAGGTGGTGCCAAAAGGCCATGGTAATCTTGCCCTAGTCTGGGGAACGTGGGTGCATGGGAGCCCAGCAGTGGTGGAGATGGTGCCAAGCAAGGGCCAGCGCTGGTAGCTGGCTGTGCATTCAGCTGCTGTGGTAGATCCGGAGGCGCTGGGAGATCTCCTGGCGGCACAGTGGGCAGGTGCGTAGTGGCTGCCAACACTGCTGGCAGCAGCAGACATGGCCACAGGTGAGGAAGACCATTTGGGCCTGCAGGGAGAGCAGCATTAGCACCCAGGCTAATGACCACATCCCAGCCCTAGGAGCATAGCCGTGTGTGTGTGAAAACCTAGTCAGGCCTGTTGGCAGTTTTGTGCCTGTTTCACTATGGGTTGCAAGAGCATGTAAATATCTACAATCCAACAGCCCTTTCTTCTGCATGCTAGGCCAAATGCACTACCACCAAGCGGCCTCTACTTCCCAAGTGCTGTGATACTAGGCATGTACCACCTACCACCTGGCTCTCAGCCTGTTTAATTATTCTGTGTATGTGTGTGTGTACCTGCCAAATTCTGATGACTTGTCTAAAATGACTTCAACCTTATGGGTCACTAGCCTTGTATGTGTGCCTGGACTCCGCTTTAGCATGACCCCATGGTCTTCAACTCTTCAGAGTCATTGAGCATATCAAGAAATTGGAAATTGGGCTGGAGAGATGGCTCAGTGGATAAGAGCACCGACTGCTCTTCCAGAGGTCCTGAGTTCAATTCCCAGCAACCACATGGTGGCTCACAACCATCCGTTATGAGATCTGGTGCCCTCTTCTGGTGTGCAGATATGTATGGGAGCAAAATGTTGTATACATAATAAATAAATAAATCTTAAAAAAAAAAAGTCCACTTAAAAAAAGAAAGAAATTGGAAATCATTTCCAGAGCCTGACAACAGGGCCTTGGTTAGAGTTCTAACGCCCCTGCTCTCCACCCAGAGTTTTCTGAAAGTCGGACAGCTACCCAGCTGCCACCATGGCCACCTTATTTATGTGTGTGGGACTCATGGAGGGCAGAAGAGGGTGTTGGGTCTCCTAGAGTTGTAAGCCACCTATCATGAATGCAGGGAACCAAACTTGGGTCCTCTGGAAGAGCAAGTCAGAGTCATCTTTCTAGCCCTTTTTGGGTTTCCTGAGACAGGGTCTTGCTACAAAGCTCACAGACTTGCGGGGACCCTGCTGTCTCCACCTCTCACAAGCTAGGATCACAGGCATGCACCACCATGCCAGCTCCTGGCTATTTTCCTTCCTAAGTCTGATCCCTCCCTTGGTGGATGAGGGAGATCTGTGCTTTAAGCAATGGTATGTTTACTTTTTGCAGTAAGTGTTAATTTTGCAACAATTTTAAAGACTTGGCAGGGAAGACCATGTTCTTGGTGAGTCATGTTGGGGGAAATTTTCCCTAATACAGTTAATAAGCTGAGGGAAAGATCCTTCTTCTGTGGGGGGCGGGGGAGGACCTCTAGAAACTGAGGTTAGCATTGCTCATATCTGGGTCATAGGAATGGGCCATTTCTGTGTCCTGTGTTTTGGGTTCTGTGGCATCTCCATAGACTCACCTCACGTTCCAGGCACACAACACACTCTGAGGTTGGCATGTCTAGTTCTGCTGGGGGAGCAGATGGTCTCACTGACTCGGGAGGCTCCCAAGGGGCTTCGGGGGTCTCCAGGACATCAAGGACCTCATCCTTAGGTGGTTTCAACTCTGAGGAAATCAGAGGGACAGGCTAAGCCAGGGAGCCATGCCCAGATGATTCCAATCCCTAGGAGATCTCCTGGCTTGTGTGTACCCCAAAGTGAGTGATGTGAGGGGCAAAGGAGGGGGTGCTTTCAGTCCAAGAGCAGGGGAAAAGCTTTTTCTTTTTGAGCTTTATTCATTCCCACATCTCCGTCTGTGAGACGGGAATGAATTCTCTGCCCAGCTACTGTACACTCTGTGGACCTTCAGGGCTCAGAAACTTGAGTCTCGGAGAGAGGGAACACCACTTGCCTGGAGCCACATCGTCATCTAGTGGTGGAGCTGCAGGATAGGCGCCGTGGCTAGTAGCTAGTGGCTTGTGGCTAGTGGCTGAACCTCTACTAGGTTCCCCAGGAAACAGAATGAGTCCATGAGGTGAAGGCAGAATGGGAACACTGCCTCCCTGTTCCCCAGTCCTCTCCCTAGCAAAGCCCTTCTGTGCCCAGGGCTCTGCCCTGGAGCCAGTAGCCCATAGACTGCCAGCCATAGCCCACATACACCTGGGCCTCTCAACAGCCCTGGGAAGAACCTAGGGTCAGCACCTGGTTGGACCCTGGCCACATCCAGAAGGTTCCGGGCTCTCCGTAGGATCTCATGTTGCAGGAGTGCTTCTGAGACACCCACCTGTGGCAGAACAGGGAAGAGCAGA